TAGGTTTTACTAGTTTTTCATATATAGAATAGTAATCACATATACATTAAGTGACTGATTTTTTTCTTGAAAATAGTTGAAATAATTAGGTTGATTATTTTATCAATTTAATTGTGAAAAGTGATCATGATAAATCAATGTGCAAGATGTTTTAAAATTTTGTAATGTATATAATAACCATCCTGTCATATAAAAGCATCAGGTCATATTTGCTATGCAAAATGCAGACTAAGGTGTTGGTAATTTCAAAGAATGAAAAAATCTGTTTGGGAAAAGCATATCACTGATTAGATAATGCTATATTCAGATGAAAGACACAGTAAAAAGTGGTTTAAAATAATATATAACTGATAGAGAATCTTGAAATTCCATATAAGACCCACTTAAAATTTCTTACACACAAAGGGATACCTAGAATATTTTTCTTAAAAAATGATCTAAAATTTAAAATGCATGTGAATGAGACTGATGTTTTATGACTAATGTATATGTCACCCAATAAAATCTTTGAATATTCACATTTTGAATACTTTTGATAAGATGGTATTCCATATAGACCTTTCTAGTTAATAATGAATACTAAATCTTATCAATTGTCCTGGCTAAAAGAAAATAAATCTACACTTGTAACAAAAGTCTATCAATAAATCAAAAATTCCCTAAACTAAATTAAGATGTGGTATAACTATAAAATATGTAATAATAAAAAGATAATTTTTATTTTTGTTATTTAGAAGATAAAATTTTGGACTTATTTATAATAAGCTGATTTTTGTTTTTAATTGAACAATTAGATCATCTTAAATGGCATTTATGACTTTCATTATATGTCTATCGAGATACACTACTAATAATACTTTGCTTGAACTCAGAGAATAGATTTCATCATGAGGTATTATATTTTAAGACAATACTTATTTCAAAGAATATTTTAAATGTATGAGATAATGCATCACTATTTAGCATCTCCTTATTTATTTTCAGCAATAAAAAACTTGCTGCTTCTAATAAAACTTGAAAAAGTCCCAATCCTAAACATGTCTTTATGTTAGCCAAATTTTAGTCTGCAAATACTTTCTACCTATTCATTTAGAGTATTTATTTTAAAGAACACTTGTAGTTTATAATCTTTAATTTGAACAATAGTCTTTTATCAAAAGTAGAATGGTTTTATATCAAGAAATCTGGACCCTGTGCATTTTTCTAAATACAGAACAAAACAAAATAAAATACCCCCAAACAGTTTTTAAGTTGCTATTCTTTGTGTGAATTTGTATTCATTTTTGCAACAGTATTTCCGAAAATCTTTTTACATCATACTTTGGTATTAGCAACTTTCTATTGTTTTCATTTGGGTTTTATTTTTTTATATAATGATATGCTCTTCATATCTTTTATCTATATTTTACATGTGAATTGCATAACATCAGTCACATCATTTTAATTTTCTGTTTAAAATTTGTGCATATTGGTAAATAAACTACTGAGGGTAGAGCATTTGTCTACCACATAAAATACTCTGTGTTTGATCTCAAACACTGTTTTATGTATCCATTTCTTGCTAGACTCATTTAGGTATGGCATTATAATGTTATATTAACGTTTACTTACTTTTCTAGAAAAAATATATTGGGGTACATATTCCATAGCAGAAATGTCTATGGTTAAAATGAAACCAAGCTGTTTTAATAGTTGATAGATCTTGTCTCACTGATTCTGAAGATATTTCTCTAAATATGTCCTAATAAAAATACTTCAGAAAACAAAATAGATGTACATTAGCCTCTTTATTGAGAATATTTTCTATAGTACAGGCTAATAGATCAAATTTTATTTCCAGTTTGATAAAGTTTACCAAATTGTCATCAAATTTTTCCATACTAACATTAGAAATAAATTAATTTATTTTTCTATAATTATTTGAAAAAATAAAAACATGAAACCAAGAAATATTTTTCTTCCAGAAACATTTCCAAAATAGTAACATCAGGCAATGGCTACAATTTAGAGATAAGCATTTGAGGCAAGGTATATTGAGCATTAATTTGTGTCACACAGGTGCATAGGAATTTGGGAGACAATGATAATAGATGTTTACTGATCATTTATTTTACATCAGATAAACTTTTAACACACTCGCTCCTCAAAACATTTGTATGAAGTAGTTGTTGCCCCCCCTCGTACTAATAAAATATTCCATGCTCTAGAAAAGATAAAAGCAAATGTTGGCTAAGATTACTCAGCTAGTGTGTAAAGCCCAATATCGATATAAAAATATTACCATTATTAGAAGATGAGGGACATTATAAGTATCTTGAGAGACAATAATACAGAGGGACCAAATGGTCTACAAAGCAATCCTATATCAGGAAGATATAAATAAAGCCTAGAATATTCCTCAAAAAAAGATTAAGAGATGAATTATAGAAGGAGCCTGTGCATTCATTTCCCGGGTGCTCACACGCAAACAAACACACAAAACTATATTAATTATAACACTGTTGGGTCCATAGCTTAGGTGTCTTTTCCAGCTAGCTCTTGTATCTTAAATTAACCCATTTTTCTTAATCTGTGTATCACAACAAGGTTGTGACCTACTGGTAAGGTTCTGTCATTCTGGAGTTGTTTTCCTTAGGCAGCTAGATGACATCTCTCTGACTCTGCCCACTCTCTTTATTTCTCTTCATATTTCCCACCTGGCTTCACTCTGCTAAACCATTGGCCAAAACAGCTTTATTCATTAGCCAATATAACAGCACATATACTGGAGGACTTCACACATCATCTCCCCTTTTCTGTCCAGCTAAAAAGAGCAGTTTTAACTTTAACATATAAAAATAACACATGCAAAGCTATTATTATGCAAGAATTATAGTTATAATATTTAGTCCATTTACATTTGGCAAATTAAGGAAAATCAATAACTTGACTAGCATGCTGGAGCCTACTTCTTGTTTGTTTTTAGTAATTGTGTAAGGTTCTTGTGCAAAAAAAAAACACAATTGCATTAATGCTTAGTCAGGGGCATATTGACTTGGGTACATTGCACTGGATGGAACTGGTTGGTAAGGAAGAGAACTGGACACCTTTTTGGAGATCTTTGTTACAAAGAAAGTGTACCTTAGGCAATTGATTTATATTTGATATTTATTAGATCCAAAGATAGGCAAGATCTGACAATGTGTCCAAGAATATGATTTGTCTTTTGAGAATGGTTGTCTGCGAATAGAAATGTGTTCTTAACAAAATAATGTAAAATGATGTCCTATATACTTTGAGGAAAAGGTAATAAGCTTAAGTAAGAAACTGATTAGCTCTTGAAAAAAATTAGACTGGAATGCAAAAGTAAAATTCATACCTAAATGTGACAATTTGAAAGGCATTGGACTTGGAAAACCAATTAATTAGATATTGCTCTGTTTGAGTTTGTGGACAGGTGATAAGCTAGCAAAAAAGCAGGTGGAGAAAAAATGTAAATCTGACCACAAATAGACTCATTATTTTGGTATCTAGTTAGTGAAAGGGTTGCTTTAAACATTCATTTTTTACCCATAAAGTCATGTTGAATATTATGTTATTCTCACTGAGTATCAGCAAAGGTGAAAAATAATTTAAATTACCACCAGACAGGTATTACATATACATTTGCAGCCTATATTCACATGAACTGAGGTGGTATTATGATAAGTGAAAGCTTTTAGTTTCTAACCTTCCAAAACTTATGGCATTTCAAATGACAAAACATAATTAAAATTAGAAGAAATACTATTATAATAAGTTATTTTAAATGGGCCCTTTAAACCCTCCATGGGACAGGGAGAAGAACATTGAAGATGTGTCATTATTAACATTTCATGTTACAGTGATGCTGTTATGAATAGCAATTGTTTATTCAGTGTTCAACTAGTAACATACTACCATAAAATACTCAGTTTTCCCTTGAGGTCTAATACAATTTTTTGCTCAGAACATTTCGTCTAAAAATGATAATATCATTTAATAATATCATCTAAAAATGATAATATCACGCTATTACTGGGAATATGGCTAGGAAAGTACAGAAAGGAACCAAAACTCACAAAATTAACCTAAACTTGGGAATAAAATGCATGGGTGTTTTCTTATTTCCACAACATGAAATAATTATGGGAGAAAACCATATTTTCTTTGCTATCTGTTAGTTTTTAAAATTGGTCAGGTGAAAAATAATTCCTAGTGTTATAATCTTAAAAAATTTAAATACAACATAATGTTTAAAAGTGCAAAAGAAGTACACTTTATTAACAGAACTTGAAGGATTGCCTGTTTTTCTGGATATTTTATTTTCAATGTCTTTTCATGCATTTTCAAGTGTTTCGTGTAGGAAATCAAAGGATTATTAAAAATGTTGAGACCATGATCACTATCAATTTCTGATTTAAATATGTTGTGAAGTATGTGAAATATTTGGGTTTTAGTCATAAGGATATATTTGTGCCACCTAAGAAAACATTCCTGGTGCAAGTTTATGTTGATTTATGAGGACATGCCAGGAATTTATACCATTCTAAATATAACATTTGAAATATTTAAACAGATTGCCACATGATTTTTCTAAAAATTTTTCCCAAGGTTACTGTTATTGATTAATGTGGCAAATTTGGACAGACATATTTATTTAAGTTTATACTAACAGAATGCCTAAAATAAGGTAAATTTTAACTTTAAAGTAATAGAAATTAGCACAGACAAATATGTGTAAATTGACTGTCTTGCTATTCTGCAATGATAAATCACATTATCTTGCATATATGTTCGGCTCTGATGACAAGTATTTCTCCATATATGCATTCTCAGGTACTTTCCCAGTTGTAGTTCAAAACCTTCATAAACTTTAATATGGAAACATAATGCATGTCATTATTTTAGCAACAGGGGGCTGAATAAATGTGTTTCATTTGGTTTACGTTTCTAATAAAAAAGTAATCTTGATTTAAATTAGCACTATCTTTTTTTTTTAGGCCTCCATTCCTTTGAAGGAATTGGAGCAGTTTAACTCAGATATACAAAAATTGCTTGAACCACTGGAGGCTGAAATTCAGCAGGGGGTGAATCTGAAAGAGGAAGACTTCAATAAAGATATGGTAAATTGGTTATGATGAAAGTGTGAATGAACTGGGAATGAAAATGAGTAAATATTTGGACAGAAATATTATAACTTATGTCTCCAACTGAATTCTCAGAATACCAACATTCACATAGTATTATTAATAAATGATTTTATTAAATGAAAAGTATTCCTTTTGACATGCTATTATACTTGCCAAATTACCATCTTATGAACATATGGGAACACTTTGAACTTCTAATAAATAGTTCAATTGTATTTTGGCTTGCTTTTTCATTTTCAAATTCAGAAGGCAAAATGTAAAAGGAAATAGTCATTCAGGATGCAAACTAAAATATAATAGAAATTATAGTCTTATATATACCTGATGCTTTTGGTAATAGAAAGGAAAGTTGTGTGAAATGTAAAATTGTCTATCAAAGTTTCTAACAAAATGGTTTTTATCAAAGATTTAAGAAAATGCTGAATATTCAATGGGAGTAAAACATGTGTACATGTGTACATGTGGCCTTTACATCCATACATCAAGAACATATTCCTCCAATCTTTGTTAATTTCACAATATCTTTTATATTTTTCTCTGGCTTGACTGTTTCTGTGTCACATCACTATTCACTGAGTATATTTATGCTGCATTCACTTTACTTTTTCACATATTCTTTCCCCCTTTTCCGCTGCCATTACCACTGTCGCATACTTAACCTTTATAGGGATCACAATAGAGATTTTCACATATGTGTCAATGCTAGAGTTGTATTAGACTATTATTAAAAACAGCATTGGAGGTAATATGTGATTTTTTTGATGCTAGATAATATAGAGCAATGGGAGAAATATTTCTGCCCCAGTACTCTTAGCCTCTCTCGTAGCAATTCTAACTTTTGGGAGCTATTCTATTCAGTACTCCTTATATAAGAAATTTAGAGGTCTTCACCTCTCAACTCATGGAAAGAAAGACAGGAAGACATATCCCAAAATTCCGAGATCCAGCTACCTCTACTTCATGTCAAGGAAGAAATTCCAGGGTGAAGATGTCAGAGAATGTTGTTACTTCTCAGTCTCAGAAACAACCTGCCACAGAATACTCACTTAGGGAAACAATTTAGTTTTATCTGTTTACTTCTAATAACAACTGTACAAAATAATCCCATTTCCTTTAACCACAATGGATAAGTCTGCTGTTGTATTTCAAAATTTAAACATGTCGCCGGGCGGTGGTGGCGCACGCCTTTAATCCCAGCACTAGGGAGGCAGAGGCAGGCGGATCTCTGTGAGTTTGAGACCAGCCTGGTCTACAAGAGCTAGTTCCAGGATAGGCTCTAAAACCACAGAGAAACCCTGTCTCGAAAAACCAATAAATAAATAAATAAATAAATAAATAAATAAATAAATATGTCATAGATTTACATATATTACATTTATTACAATACATAATAATATAAATGTATACATAAATGTGTCTTGAAGTTTGTGTGCCATTTGTCATTAGCTCATTGGCATACCTGCATACCATTGCATACTATGACTTTGTCGCAGATATTTTTCATATTTGGAGTTGAATGGTAAGAAACCAGAGATACACAAATGTAATCAATATTGCAATAAGATTGCAACAGCACTTTTTCAAATAATATCTTTAAGCAAATTAAATTAAACTATTGTTCTTAGAGAAAAAACAAAGAGAACTGAAAAAAATCAAAGTTATTTTAATACATACTAGTAGTATTATTTTGTTTACTTAAACCTAGCATAATTATGTGTCATTTTAGAAATTAATCTTTTTCAATATTTTACAATTTTCCCCATTGTTTTTATTAATATTCCAGATACTAAATTTGACCATTTGGATTTAAGTATAAAGCATAGATTAGTATGTAAAATCTACTGTACAGATGTAGATAGTTACCATTAGAAGCAACAAGATTAGTTTATTTCCCTATATAGTTTAAATACACTTAAAAGTAATATAAATAAAATCCAAAATAATATTTTATAATAAATTATAACTTCTATGATCTAAAGTGCCTTACACTCCAAATTCATACATATGCCACTCACAATTTGTTCTTTAGAAGAGTTACACATAAACTTTGTTTTTTTATATAAGCATAAAAGAAATATTCTGAGCATATTTTTTATGACAGAATTCCCTAAAAATTGTAAACTCAATTTTTGTGTGTATTTTAATATGTTTATCTTTGTTAACAATGTACAGCGTTTTAAGAATCAAAATGAAGACTGTACTTGTTGTTTTTAATCAGAGTGAAGACAATGAGGGTACTGTAAATGAATTGTTGCAAAGAGGAGACAACTTACAACAAAGAATCACAGATGAGAGAAAGCGAGAGGAAATAAAGATAAAACAGCAGCTGTTACAGACAAAACACAATGCTCTCAAGGTATTAGAGCTCAAATTCTAATGTGCTTTGCCTGTGATTTTGTATGTATAGGGTAAAAAACAACGTACATAAAGAAAATCTGTTTAAGAATTTTAGTAACCAGAAAATTACTTTTATCTTTTAATGTGTGTGCTTTATTTATGATTTTCTTGTGCAACCAGTTTTCAGAGATATGTGACATAACCTTTGTTTTGTTCTTTTTCTTAGTAATATTGCAAGATACACAAAAGTATTATTTACAGTATTTAAAAATTTATTTTCAAATATGTTTTATTTCTATAAGCTGGTGTTATATTTGTCCTGATTGCCAGAATAATCAATTGTTATTCCCTCCACTGTTGCAGTTTCTATATGGTAGGTCTAGTATTTTGGTAACTGTTTCTTTAGTAGGGCCTGGATTTTGATCATTAAAAATCATAAACTTCACTCTGTTTATAACAGATACTTTGTAAAAGCAGACATCTAGGAATCTACAAGAGCCTAATTTCATTCATATAGAAACCCTCAAAAGTATTCAAAATGCACTTGAAAAATACTATCATCTTTAGTATATGCAGTCAAGTATCCTTGTGACCCATCTGTACTGTGCAAGAGCAGAATAACTTGATTTTTCTCTAATGCTGTCTATGCAGTCCTTGAGATGGAACTAGATATGCTAAACATTTTGTGAAGCATTATTTTTGTGTATGTTTTGCAATATTATTGATTTTCCTTCATGGCTTATTTCTAATACTGCTAATAGTAATATATTTCATCGTGAATCATTGCTTTAAACCTATATGGCTATATAGATAGATTCGCCTAGTAGGTGGATGGAGCCTGCTTTCTACATGCAAATACGTATGTAGGATCTTTTTCCTTATTGTTAAGCAAGTAAACACTGCTAAGAATGTAATTACACAATCTTATGCCTGCAAAGAATCAACAAGGAGAGTCTAATTGGCCAGCAGGTGTTCTGAAGGTAACTGCTGATAAATACAGTAAATAGAAAAGATCTCTTCCTTGTGGGAAATACAAGAGCACATCAAAATGTACACAGAACATCGGAAAACTGTGTAATTCTCACTCTTCTGTGACAAAAGCTTTTGGAAGTTTATAGATTAGTCACACGAGGATATATGTACTATTGGTCAGTAGTATCTAGAGGCCATCTTCCATAATCAAACAAATACATACTTTTAAAAAAATAATATTCTATTTTGCACATTACCTCTTTCTACTCAAACAAAAAATACCTATCAGATTCATAACCTTCAAGTCCTTTCAATATGTACATTGTATCATGAATAAGTCACAGTTCAATAAGTCCCCAAGCTGAACCTTAGTATATTGTTAGGGGGAGCAGAATTCCATCTGATGCTTCCAAGGCATGTATTACTTTTACATGGAGTTTAGAAATGACACACAAAGTACAAACTAAAAGAAATAGTAAATCTTAATGCTTCAAGGAATTAATAAAAATCAACTTTGTTTGCCAACCAGCTTATCCCAAATACAGTTATAGAGTTAACCAAGTAGTTGTAATTACATTATTATAAAATATTTTAAAAGAGGTTTGAAGTTTCCAAGGCAACGAAACATTCGGTTTTTTATTGGTATTTTTTAAAATTCATATTAACTTGCATAAAAAGCACAATTGCTACTCTTTGATGAAATGAATCTGTAGATAGAGTTGTTGCATTTCAGTGGGGGTACGAACTGGTATTTTAGCTAATTCCATTGATTTCAGAAAATTTTGAGTGAACTTCTATGAGCCAGACAAATACTAATTTCTCCTTTGAAAATTTATTAAAAGAGTTTGTTTTTTATCACCAAGTTGATTGAAAACTCTTCACTCTTTTTGAAATAGCAATTATTTTTATACTTTGAATATGATCTACTATAATAAAAAATACTGGCTAAGTTTGCATTGAAAGAAAAATTAGGGTTGTTTAATATTAATTTCATGTACAATCATAGCTCTATAAAGAATAGTTATACTTCTACACATAAACATGTAAAAACTTTAAAATAATGAATTAAACTTATTATATTGATTTCAATTTTTATGTATATGGGTATTTTTCCTGCATGTTTTTCTGTGTACAATGTGTATGAATTGCCCACAGAGGCCAGAAGATGGTATCCGATCCTCTGGTACCCGAGTTACAGATGGTTGTGAGCAGCTATATGGGTACTGGGAGTCAAACCAGGACCTTCCAATCTTCATACCTACTGAGTTATTTCTTCAGTTTCCAAAATAACTAAAATTTTAAGCAATGCTATTAATGACCTAACTTTATAGACATTTCTAAAACCATGAATGTTTATAGTATGTGTTAATTTTGTTGGTAAACCCCAAGCTGAACATATACATTTTAGAATTTTGTATTGATTTTTATTGAGCTCTGCATTTTTCTCTGCTCCTTTCCATGTCTCTCCCATCCTCTTCAACCATCTCCCAAGGTCCCCATACTCCCAATTTACTCAGGAGAATTTTAAGTACTTTAAAAGTCAAGTGTAGCTCAATGCTTTTGTAACTAACTGGTTATATTCATTGTATTTATATATGAAATTATTTCAAATGTACTATGCAATTATTTTCTTAGATAATTAAGACTTAATTAAATGTCAAAGATTTGTAATCAAGTTTGAATATTCAAAGAATAATATTTTGTGTTATTAATGTTTCGTAGCTTCTGTACATAGATCTTAAGGCATAAATACATAATTTAATAATTTGCCTCTGTGTTGTATTTACATGTGATTTTTACAAAGCAATTAAAAAGACAAGGTCTCAACTTAGTTTTCATAAATAACTGCAGAAAGAGTGTATTATCCACATATATTGATATTTTAATAATATCTGCATCATGAACAGGATTTGAGGTCTCAAAGAAGAAAAAAAGCCCTAGAAATTTCTCACCAATGGTATCAGTACAAGAGGCAGGCTGATGATCTCCTGAAATGCTTGGATGACATTGAAAAAAAATTAGCCAGCCTACCTGAACCCAGAGATGAAAGGAAAATAAAGGTAAAGTTGTTTTAGAATGGCAATACAAGATTTTGCGGCTAGATTTTAACTACATTAACATAACCTACAATGGTCATGTACAAAATGTGTCTGGTTTCCTCTAGAAGCTTGCTCTGTGCTTTGATGTATTTCTTTGTATTGTGTTTTGTTTCAGTAACTGTATTGTACTGAGTGTTATTGAATTGACGTAATGTTGGATGAATAAACTGTTAGACAATGTGAAATGAATTATTAACTGTCATGTGTTTTCTGGCCCAATTGTAATTGACTCTGTGTATCTTTGTTCCAGATGAAGTAATGGCTTATCGGTACATGGACGACTTCTTTCTCGTGTTAGCACATTCATTTCATCAGAACATCTTTTCATATCACTGTCAAATCTCTAGAGATTTATTTGCAAATTGTCCAAAGATGTTTTCTTTCTGTTATTATTTTACACGTTTTATTTTGCTTCATTCTCTGTTGATTTCCTCAAACCTTTAAAATAAAGTAGTCACTTCCCCTCTAAATTTTATTCTATATGAATCATCCCTAGTAAATAAGTGAAGAATCACTCTAAATTTGGGTCAATCCTCAAAGCACCAGAAAATTTCAAAAGAAACAGAATGCTAAGAAACATTTAATAATCTAATTAGAATATCTAAAACTGAGCATTCAAATGATACATAAAATTATATTTGGCTTACTGGGTGAGGATGACAGTGACACCTTCCATTATTTCGAAATGATGAAAATACAAAAAAAAAAAAAAAAGGAACAACAGCCTATGAAATTTCTGAGCAAAGTATTTGCTACTTGTAGGTCGGTTGATGTGGTTAGCTAACTGCCCTGGGCCCTGTATTGATTTTGCTCAATAGGAAATTGATCGTGAATTGCAGAAGAAGAAAAAGGAGCTGAATGCAGTGCGCAGGCAAGCTGAGGGCTTGTCTGAGAATGGGGCCGCAATGGCAGTGGAGCCAACTCAGATCCAGCTCAGCAAGCGCTGGCGGGACATTGAGAGCAGTTTTGCTCAGTTTCGAAGACTCAACTTTGCACAAATTGTGAGTTGTTACTGGCAAACCCAAGTATGTGTTTGCAACTACTACTCTATTAACAGAAGCCTACTAACAGCACCAAAAATATAGGCTTAATAAGAAACTTCTATTGCACATTCTAAAAGTGAGTGGTTCCCCTCACTTTGGGCTTCTGTAACTCCAAAGCTTAATTTTCAAGATTAAAGACCAGAGGACAAGTGATAGGAAAAGGACCCTTATTCAAAATGAAAGAGAAAATATAAACATCTTAATTTCTTTTGCTGCATCATTTTTCATAACATTGGCAATGTGAATTTGTCAATTTCTCATACATTTATTTACTTCACTGTCTAATTCAGAAATATGCATTGCTTTCCTGAGATCATCCCATGCTAATTTTACTTTCCTACTGTATATATTCTGAATAAAGGTATTTTATGAAATATGTTAGTTTGACTTACATAAGGTCATCTTACTGACTTAGATATTACTACTACAGTCTTTACTCTTGGATTAAACACTTAGTGGGTCACATTGCTCATTATATGAAATAAATGGCTCAGGATAAGTTATTTGATGGAAGATTAAATAAAATTGTCATCACTAGAGCACTAGAATCCAAAAGAAAAAGAGAGTCCTTTTAAACGACAGAATGGACCATTTCTGATACCCTCTTGGAAAAGGCAGTTCAAAGTTATGTAATCATTTTTTTATTATTCATAGCAGGGTAGAAGCAACAGAGACTTTTTGACCAATATACTTTTTCTTCCTTACTCAAGTTCTTAGAAGGTAAAGAAGAATGACCACCATCTGCATTTCCAGGAAGTACACATCACAAACCCAGGATGTAAATGTCTGAGACAAAATGATTGTTTTGCTTTGTGTAACGAAAATCTTCATGGGATTCAATTCTAAAATGATACTGTTTCTATGATATTATTAATTTCATTTATTACAGTTGTACTGTAACATGCCTAAAGTAATTAAAATAACTGTTTTCTGAATGTGTATGGCATAATACGTGGCATATTATTGTGGCTTCTTTCTATATTCTTAAGAAAGTTCCTAAGTATGTGGTTTTTATGAAATTCAATAGTCTAAAGTTTAATTGCAGCTGAGTATTACAAATAAATTGAAAACAAAATAATTTAAGAAATACTAGTCAGTCATGATGGTGCATGTCTCTAATTACTGCAGTTATAAGGTCTAGGTATCAGAACCAGGACATCAAGATCAGTCAGCCTGCCTTAAAATATAAAAATTAAAAATAAAAAAGGGAAATACTGGAATTATTTTATTTTGAGTCTTAAGTTTAGCTGACTGAACATTAAAGTCTATGATCTCTCGTATTTAATATTATAAACATAATATTGCATAAATCGCTGAAGCTTACAATAGCAGGCAACAAACATGGTAGGATAATTTCTGTATATAAGGAAGCGAGTAGGTTCATGTGTATGTGGTTGAAAATGTAGGTGTTGTTAAATGTGCATGTGTGTGGGTGCAGATTGAACTCTAAGTGAGAAAACAGCTTTGGGTATTGTTGTCCAGGTTCCAGCCAACTGTTCTTTAAGTTCCAAATATTGGTAGAAGAATGGGTTTCAGATTAGCCTGGAAACCAATGAGTTATCTAGGCTTATTTATCTACCAGAAGACCCAAGAATCCATCCTCTTGCCTCTCTAATACTTAGAGTCCAAACATATACAACCATGCCAATAATAATAATATATAACATAATATGTAGCAAGTATAATATATATATATATATAATTAGATATAATATATATTATTAGAGTAGATAATATGCATGGCTCTGGGACTTGAACGCAAATCCCAGCCAGCATCCTTTCAAGGTGAGTATTTTCCTTTGGAACTACCTCCCTATGTTCTAGTAGAATAATTTTGTTTTTATTTGATAGAACAGTTATAAACTAGTTCTTAGCTTATTAAATTAGCTTATAGAAACTATTTTTTTTTGTTTTTAAGTTAGAGATTCAATATACTCATTTTGAAGCCGAGACTTTAAGCCATTAGGACAGTTAGGTTCATTATGAGTCATTCGTTTAAAATGAGAACAATATTTTTATCTTTTTTAAAAAAGGAAAAATAATAAAACATTGAAAAAAGGATCAAAACAATAACCTTATCTAAACTATTGTGATCAATACACATTGATCTATGGCCAAGTATTTTTTATGCTGCCAAATAATATTAGGAGATATTTCAGACAAAATTTTGTCTCAATCAATGAAGGGTATGAGTTTACACATTTTTTTGATAAAGTTCTTATGAAATTTTCTTTCTTTTTTATTTTTATTTTTATTTTGTTTTGTTTTTCAAGACAGGGTTTGTTGAGCTTTGCAGTCTGTTCTGGAACTAGCTCTTGTAGGTCAAACTGGCCTCAAACTCAAAGAGATCTGCCTGCCTCTGCCTCCCAAGCCCGAGTGCTAGGATTAAAGGTGTGCACTATCACCGCCCAGCTGATTAAGTTCTTATTAAATTTTGATCATCTTCATGAAAATAAAGACTAAGGTACAAATGTAAAGGCTTCATATGATCCGCAGCAAAAAAAAATAACATGTATATATTTTAGTAAGAATATATTTATAAATTAGAATGTACTAAGGAAACGTTGCTTTGCTGAAAATTCTAAATGACTTGGAAACTAGAATAAAGAGTGTTCTGTGGTACTCATCTGAAGGGTTCCAGACTGTAAAATTGGAGAACATGGTGAAAAGACAATATTTTATATAACTATGTGGCATTAATAACTTGGAATTGGTTTCAGTTTACATGACTTTTCACATTGCATAAAAATCTACTACTACTGAAGAACAACAGTGTGTCCATACCTATCTAGTCTTGAAAAAATTATGATATTAAATAATGAAGAAAGTCTAGTAATAGCTGAAGACTAATAATACTCACAGAAGACTTCATCAACAGTAGACATTGACTACAATAGATGTTACATGATCTTCAAAATGCTAGAGGCAATACATTCAGACATTGTCTAGTATTATGTATAGAAAACAAAAGTATTTATGTATTTACTTTTGAATAAAGAAATTAAAACAAAATTCTTTTGTTAAGGGGAAAATGAAGCCAAAGTAGGATAAGACATTCAGTTGATATACATCAACTCTCTTCTTATTTCAACAGCCTCTAATTCCAATTTCTACTTTCAATGTCTTTCCAACAACACTATAATCTTTGATGCTAAGTCACTAATGTCTCTTACACTTTCACAAAATTCTAGGAACTCTATTGTTTATCACCAATTATGGAATATTTATGTCCATTTCTGCCATTGTGCTGCTATACTCACGTAAATATGTCTCTTCTATATTGAAGCACAGTGATTTCATTTTCATTCCAGAATTTTAAAAGTTTGATTTTTTTGGTGAACTCTTTTAAATCTATAAGTTTTTATTAATTCCTACTTATTTAGTCATCATTTCATTTAGGAACAATGAATACTGAATCTTTGACATACAATCTTTTAATAGTTTCAGCTTTAAAAATACTTTATACATACAAAACGGGATATGGAGACTACTGCCCAAGAATCACTTTTATTACCAGTTCCCTGAAAGTAGGGATGCTATGGAAATGAACTAGGATCTTAAAGAGTGAATATGAACTGAGTTTCAATAATATATCAAGAAGGAAAGCTTTTATTATACCAGAGTAATCAGAAAATGCATTGACAAGCTCTACAGTATGTATTACCAAAACATTTTTTCCTAAAAAGTTGTTGGATATTAATGTTTCATAATATTCACTTTAAAAAATCACTAAAAACATAATGAAAATCATTTCTTAACTTACTATGTAAAATGTTTATACTGTAGACAGTTGTTCTACTAACTTATGAATTAAAATGTTGCACAGTATTTTCTTTTTCTTTCTTAAGCATTTAGTTTAATTATTTTGACATCCTCATATTGTTTTTATTGTTACTGAAATTATCCAAATTTATACCTAAGAAACAGAGGACATCAAATGAATCCAGTAGTTTCAGAATGTGGAAGGAATAAAGATTTATATTCAAGTATTTGGAGGAAAAACAGAATTAAGCAAAGTATCCTTGTCCTATAACGTCTCAAAATATCTAACATTAGAGTGCCCTAACTTTTATGAGAGGAATAGAATATATAGGCCCTTATATTTCAACAGGTGCAGTTGAAAGTGAAAATGCCATTTGAGATTGCTGATAGGATTCATGTTTGATGGAGAACAATATGATGGAAAATAATGGAGAACAATTCATGTTTGATGGAGTTACAAGGAACTATTGCTCATTATAAAACATTATAGTGAAAGTATCAAGTTACCTTTATGCTTTCATTGCTTGTAACTGTCTTAATATTAAACAGAAATACACAAAAAAATAATTTCAGTGCTCTTTTCCAACACATTATGTAAAATAATGTCTGATCCTAGATTGCATACTTATTCAAAAAGCACAATTTTTATATTCTATTTTCTACTACATAGTGAAGAGAAGTTACTCTTGAGTAAAAAAAAGAAAAAACATTTTTTACATAATTACACATAGATATTTTATTCATGTTGAAGTTAAAACAAAGGTTATCAGCTGTCAATGCAACATCCTTGGAAAATAAACAATGTTCTTATTTAGAGACAATTTTTTTTGTCTGTAAATGAAGTTGTGATTATAAAAGACTAACAGTAGTTGCCAAGGAAATTATTGACCCAGGAGTCACTTGGTTATAGAATTTTCATCTGCTCAACTTAAATACTGTAATTAACATATCATAAAGGTTAAGAGGGAAATTGCATATGTTAAGATTCTATAAATCTATTTTTACTAGATTTTGATGATGGTCATAATTTCTGCAATTTTGATAATATTTTTTTGCTTCTTCTATTTGTGTAGCTTGGTACTTCAAGTGGATGTTAAGGAAAGAGATCTATGTAAAGCTAGAATGAATTTCTAAGATCACAGTATAATGACTGATTTTCACCCCCCATTTACAGTGCATGGGGATTCTGAATAAAT